AGGGGAAAAGGGGGAGGGGGGACAGAGACACACACAAATAAACACATGTTTTTCTCACAAACTGAAACAAATACAATTTTTTTCAAATAAAAAGAGGAGCCACAAAAGAAAATTGGACAGCTTCAAATCGCAATCGTGTTGCAATGAGCGTGCTGTATCAGCTGCATGTTGCGTCATGATTGACAGTTGCTCAGATGCAAAAATGTCTTGGAACATCATAAACTCTGGCATCACGTAATTCAGGTGTGCGCTGAATGCTGAACCCGGCGTGCCTCAGATATATCTGATCATGCAGATGTGGAGTTTACTTTTAAAAGACAGTATAACCAGTTCTGGACGAAATTGTGTTATATATTCCACTTAATAGATTAAAACACGGCGCATATTTCTGTCTTAGAGTGGTATCAATATCTTTAAAATACGACTGGGAGAGTTTTTTTGAAGATATTCAAAGCAACTGACTGTTGAAAGGCAAAGGTGTGTTTTTGATGTTTTTGTTTTATTTTTTTTTGTGGGGATGGGGTTTTTGGGGGGCTCTCCTGAATATTTTAAGAAATTGGATATACTGTCTTTGAAAATAGAATTTCGCAGAGTATAGTGCTGGGTCATATCTTTCTGTTACGAAAAGTAAAATAAAGACGAGGGGTCTGGTTTTTCACCTTGGTATCTTGACAGCATTCAATCTGATGACGTAAAGAACTACAAATTGGGATGCCAGACAGGGGCTAGAAGATAACAAAGAAGCATTAAATTCTGTATTGTTTTTTTTTAAATTTCAATGGTCTAATAATACCATACTCTTTTTTCTTTCCCTCTATCGTTTCTGTCTCTCTTTCTGTCTTGCTTAATTCTTGTAAAAACACAATGAACATCCCAAAAAAGTACTAAAGTTTTTGTAATATAAAACGATATGCTATCGCTTATCATTGATTAGTACTTCAAATGGCTAATCTGTCTGGGATTCTGTCTTTTTCACTCCGTGCAAAAGCAGTATAATTACATTTATTGTCATATATAGCATGAATTTAACTGCCAAATATTGAATATTTTCTTTCTGTTTTATGATCAGCTTGAATTCTTTTAAACCATAACATTTTGAAAACCTTGTGAAGTTATTTTTAAGAAGAGAATGTAACCACAGAAACAATAGTGAAATAACGAATGTATGATAATAATATATTCATTTTATGACAAGCAGGGCGGTTTTGACATGTAGAACAGTGCAACTTTGACCTTTATCAAAACAGGTAAAAATGAAACTTCATCTTGGACAACAAGGACGCAAAAAAATGAAATGAATCCACCCCTTACCCTCTCTTTCACCTAAGTAAATCAGGTAAATCTACAATGATCACTTATAATAGAAGCTAACAGGTAAACTATATTATGTCCCTGCTTTCGTTTTATTATAGAGCATATAAACACAAACCAGGGGCCTAATAAGTTATTTCAAAGTCATATCATGCCTTCGATCGTCAGAGAAAACCAGAAAAAAAAGAAAATAAAGAATAAAAGGGAGAGACTTTACACTAACTTGTACACATTCCACTGTGTCACGGAATTGGCTTCTATGAGCACTTCTACCGGTGTGCTGTGAGTAAGAGTAACTGCACTGACGAGTCTTCAGGTGAGCTGGTCAGTGTAGAGTGAGACCCCTTTTAATTTAGTTTTAGTTGAGGTTTAACGATACTCGCAATTTAACTGCATAAGGTCATATGAGCGCCAGGGTCTGGATGTCAACTGAAAAGTCCTAATGGGAATCAGACTTACTCTTCTCACCTTTCTGGCTTCAACAGCACAAAGTCTGCTTCGACTATCAAGGCACCCCGGGAATAGCGGGTCACAAGAGTGTGACAAACATACAAAAGAAGTAGAGGAAATATGACAAGAGTAAGGATTAGGAAAGAAAAAGCAGCAGTTCCCTGTTGCAGTTCAAGCATAGTTATGAGCATGACATCGATGAATCAGCCCATTTACAGTTCTACTGTGCATAAGAACAGGTTAATGTTCCCCCTTTGGGAAAAGCCTAAATACATTTCAGTTAGTAGCCCCGCCCCGGGGAATGAATGAGACCCTTTAATTTTTAGATACTCATTTGGAAGAATACAGTCGAACCTGTTCTAACGGCCACGTGTCCTAGATAATCGCCTGTACAAACGGCCACCCCCCTTCCCCTTTGTGCTTTTTGTAGGTTATAATGGTACTGTTTAAGAGGACCACTTGTAAAGAATGACCATTTTTCTCCTTGACAGTGGATTGTCATCTTGGAAGATTTGAGTGTATTTTTCAAAACAGTTTTAGGACAAAATACTCCATGTGCAAAAAGCGAAACGTATAAAAATTGATGATTGTTCGATCTACGATCAGAAAGTTAGGTTAACTTGTAGAAGTCATAGCTTCTACTAACTAGAAGCTGCATTATTGGTTTGTTTTACTTGCTTTCGTCATTTAAATAAATTTCCATTTGCTCGCACTGCAGCTGTATCCTCATACATCATTGTCATTCTTTTCTTTAAAATTGGGTGAGCAGCTTGGAACCAATATGTTTACGATGACGATGATTGCAGACGGAACTTTTCTGCAACAAAGCTGGGAAAAGGCTAAAGACTTGTAATAGTGAAAAAAAGCCCAACTTAATTCAAGAAGCACAAAATCATTAGCAAAACAACACATTCTGATTCACAAGATATTTTGAAGCAGTAAATACAAAGATCGAACTCACGATCTAAAGCCAAAAAATCAAATGTTCAAATATTTCAGATAGTCCATTTTGACACAAAGCTGAGGATTTAGTACCCCTCTCCACACACAAGGGAAAATTG